ATCTGTTGGAAATCACATGACATCGATGACTGTGAAGCCTTCAAGCAAAAGACACTGAACGAGAAACGTACTTACTTGAGAGAGAAGCACATGTCTTATGGATGCTACGGATACAACCACGCTGTCAAAGGATGTCTAAGAAAGAGAATATGTAGGAAGTGTGGAAAACGTCATCCAACAGCACTACATGACGATAACAGTCAACATTTAACAGACACCAAGTATCAAACAGAAGGCAACGGCATCCAAAAGGATTTAACAGAAACAGTGTCATCTTCTTGTAACAGTACCAAGTCTGACTCGGTGGAAACTGTGCTACAGTCGATTCTACCTGTCGTCATACGCCAGCAAGGTAACAGTAAAGCGGTGAAGACTTATGCACTCTTAGACAATGGGAGTACTGGCTGCGTCATCACAGATACCCTCAAAGATCAACTTGGCGCATCAACAACTATGACAACTCTGAAACTACAGACTATGCATGGTGTAGATATGGTAGAAACCTCAGCTGTAACTAGCCTCACTGTAACTGACAATCAGGACAATCATCCAGTCTATCTTCCTCGGACATTTGTAAAGGAAATACCAGTTAATCATAACCAGATTCCTGATCCAAAGTTTCTCGAGCGATTCTCTGATCTTGAAGATATGGCAAGTAAATTACCTGAATTTTACCCGGACCTTGAAGTTGGTCTCCTAATTGGAAGTAACTGTCCTTCAGCCTTACAGCCTAAAAATATGATTCCATCAGATGGGGATGGTCCATTCGCAGTGTCGTATAAGCATGGCTGGACGATTAACGGGCCTCTGCATGTGAAGTTTAATAGTGAGAGAAACACTCTTGTCTGCAACAGAGTCATTTTTTGCGAAAAGAGTTCTGTGAAGGAATGTCTAGCTCCGAGTACTAACGTAAGGATCTTCGAACGAGACTTCAGTGAGCAGGATCTCGGCAAAGTACCAGGGGAGAAGGGCTATTCAAGAGAAGATAAGAGATTTATGGAGACAGCAGAGGAACAGGTGACATATGTCAATCGTCACTATGAGCTTCCATTACCATTCAGAGACGATACATTATGTGCAAACAACAGGACTCAAGCAGAGAGCAGAGCGAAATGGCAAAGAAAAGAAAATGCTCCAGAATGAACAGTACTACACAAGGATTATGTAGGTTTTGTTGATAATCTCCTTGAAAAGGGCGCTACGTACAAGCTACCTGAAAATCAACTGTCAGCTGAATCACAGAGAATTTGGTATCTTCGCACCATGGAATCTATCACCCAAAAAGCCAACAAAGATCCGTGTGGTTTTGACTGCAGCGCCAAGTATGAAGGAACATCATTGAGCGACAGGCTTCTGCAAGGTCCAGACCTCACAAACTCTTTGATAGGTGTTTTGACAAGATTCAGAGCTGAACGGATAGCATTCATGGCAGAACATAGAGTCCATGTTTTACCAGGTGAAGGTGCCAGTGACTCACCATGACAGCCTAAGATTTTTGTGGTGGCCCAACGGTGATCTCAACGCTGACTTACAGGAATATAGAATGGGTGTACATATCTTCGGAGCAGTCTCCTCTCCCAGCATATCCAAATTTGCATTGAAAGCCACAGCCAACAGAGCAGAAGAAAGGTTTGGCAGTCTCGTAGCTGATGCAATCAGAAAGAACTTTTACGTTGATGACTGTTTAAAATCTGTAGAAGATGCCAAGACAGCTATAAAGCTAATCTATGACGTGAGAGCCGCATGCGCAGATGGGGGTTTCAAATTAACCAAGTTCACTTCAACAGTGAGAAGAAGAGATACCCAGTATTTGTTGCTAATCGTATGAGAATGATAAGGGACTACTCTGAGCAAAAAGATTGGAAGTATGTAGAATCTGATGAGAACCCAGCGGATGTAGCATCCAGAGGAGCTAGCACAGCACAACTACTGGCACAATCAGACTGGTTTGAAGGAACCACAATTCCTCTGGAGATCTGAATCAGAATGGAATCTGAAGCAACCCGGACTTGCAGAATCTGTTGTAGAGGAAACAGTTGCAACTACGTGTGTATCACCAACCAAGATGCAATGTGAAGGGCTTGACACTTTGATTAAACATTATTCAAGTTGGTATCGTCTTAAGCAGGGCGTAGTCATATATCTCCAACTCATCAACAACATCCAAGCTCGTATCAGGAAATGGAAAGGTAAAGTTGAATCGGGGGTATATAACAACAAACCGCTTTTCACAGTTGAGAACCTTGAATGTGCAGAGAATATCATCATGAAGTTTGTGCAGTCCAAGAGTTTCGAAGAGGAAATCCATGTACTTACAGCAGTTGAACAAGGCCATGTATCAAAGCACAGCTCGGTCTACAAGCTGGATCCATTCATCAACAATGGAATTCTAAAAGTAGGTGGCAGACTCAGCCAGTCTCAGATCCCAGATGAAATGAAGCACCAGATTCTTCTACCCAGCAAACATCATGTCACAAGCCTGATCATACAAGACATACACAAGAAGCTTGGCCATGTGGGACGAAATCATGTACTTTCGAAGCTACGAGAAAAGTATTGGGTCATCAGAGAGAAGGCAACCGTGAGAAACATACTGTCCCATTGTGTGACCTGTCGAAGACTGAGATGCCTCCATGTGAACAGAAGATGTCTGACTTACCATTCAGCAGAGTGAATCCAGCACCACCATTTACATACTCAGGTGTAGGTTTCTTTGGCCCGGCATACCATCAAAGAAGGAAGGAAACAGATGAAACGCTATGGAGCACTGTTAACATGTTTAGCGGGTAGAGCCATACACATTGAAACTGCCAACTCTTTGGACACAGACTCATTCATACATGCCTTGCGTCGCTTTATAGCACGACATGGACCTGTCAAAGAAATATGGTGTGACAATGGCACCATTGGAGCTGCCCGAGAATCGAAAAAAGCACTAGCAGAACTTGAGCAAAACAGCATCCACTCTCACCTACTGCAAGCCAACATCGACTGGAAGTTTAACCCACCATCAGCCAGTCACATGGGTGGGGTATGGGAACTCATGAAAGGTTCTGTACGAAAGATTCTATCTCCCATGCTGTATGAGTTTGGAGACCGTTTGGATGACGAAGCATACCGTACCCTGCTATGCGAAGTAGAAGCCATCGTCAACTCCCGTCAACTCACCACAGTTTCCAGTGATGCCACTGACCTGAACCCCCTAACGCCAAACCATTTGCTCATGATAAAATCCAATGTTTTCATCGCTCAACAAGGTAATTTTCAACGTGACGATGTCTACATGCGTCGGAGATGGAGAAGGATTCAGTATCTCGCAAATGTATTTTGGACAAGGTGGAGGAAAGAATACCTGTATTCCCTACAAGAGAGACAAAAATGGAGTACATCAAAATGCAACATTGAAATAGATGACATTGTACTCATCAAGGATGAAAATGCACACAGATCATGCTGGCCCATGGGACGAGTGATCAAAGTTGAGCCTAACAAACAGGGCTATGTGAGAAGTGTGATACTGAAAACTCAAAGTACAGCACTGCGCAGACCTGTACACAAACTAGTTCTATTACTTCCAATGACGAGTGTAAGATGTGCTGATGTATGAAATTTTGTGAAAATTGACATTGTGTATGAATTTATGGCCAAAGTTATGGGCTGTATGTTATTCCAGATTGTTTCTGCATTGTGAGAAGTTTGTTAAACAATGTTGTTTAAAGGCCGAGTGTGTTGATGCAGAAAAAATGTTCACTTCAATTAGTTTATAATTTCATGCACTAAAGATATTTGTTGTCAAAAGGTTATATTTTTATGTTGCAAAGTACAAAGTTCTAAAATAGTGTAGTAATTTTCAGTGTAAAATTTAGTTCAGATTAGGTTCAGAAAGTCTAGCTTGGCTATAACTGTTATTAGTTTTCCAAAAAGTATTATCATGATTGTCATAACAGATTACTTCCCCTTATTGTGAGTGTTGCTCCTCATCAGAGCACATGGCTTGTCACTGCCACCATGTTAAAGACATTCAGCTGTTGTAGTTGGCATGAACACAAATGTGAGTAGCATTGTTTGCTATTGTAATATATTTCAAGGCATAATAAGGTAATATTATTTGAAGGTTTTGTTAATTGTACATTTTATTCATTTATCTTGTAACTGTTAATTTGAAGTAATTTACTTAGACTTGTCATGTAGTTTGACTGTTAGGAATAATTGACTGTTAGGAATAATTTACTTAGCAAGTCTGTATTTCTGCTTTGTAGTTTTCTGAACCTCACCAAGCCAAAGAAAGAAGTCAAAGTGAAACTGAACGTATACCAGAATAACTTATTGGTGCGAGTAAAGAATTTTTGTGTCTTGCATCCACAATGATCATCATCGTCGTCTTGCGCCGGAGAATTTCTTTTTAATCATTTTATTATCATGAAAGTAAATATTCACTGAAACATTTTTTGCAACCATGTATGTATCGTTTTTATGACATCAATGACAAATTAAAAGTATCGAAGGTTGATACAGTTCCTGCCACGCTAGACCAGGGATCCGGATATCACATGTTACTATGTCTAATCAATTTAATTGTAATAGCCCATTTGCTCGACCGTAAACAGTTATAACGAACCAACGGGCTAGTTTTAGTTCATTTTATCCGTTCGATATATGCATTTCGAATTTTGACCATGACGAAATATTCCGTTCGTTATATCCGTCAGTTCGGTAAAATCATGTGGGTTATAACAATAGTTTACCGTATGCGGCGTCTTAACATTATATTCATATATGATCTAGGGCAGGTAACTCTCGTTCGCCTTATCACCTGTAACTCACGTGTAGGAACGGTGGTGTTCAATATGTCTGCCGTCAAATGTTCATGGCCAGTGGTCAGTCACATGCTTTCAGCAAGACAGCAATTTTGCAACACTTACAAATTCATTATACATAACAGTCACTACTGTTTATCTAATTTGTGAAACTTATCCCTACAAAAAGACGATCTAACATACGTGAATAGTGGTCGCAGGTGCCGCTTGTTGACAAATGGGTTCCATCAGGGGTATACTGCTGACTCTGCGCACACGTCTGCGCACTCGGGCAAATGTCGAAGCTGTTGCAGGTTCCTGTCGCCTGGTCGCACGCACTTGCACACGTGAAAGCATTAGTCACGCCTGAGATCGTCATATCATCTTTATACTGGGCAACGAGGTTGGGCCAACGTCGGAATTTAGCTTAAAAAGAAATAACAGCAGACTGATTTATTGACGTAAAATTCAACTTGACCTTTCTTTCCAGGTAAAGCTGGTTAAAATAAATAAATTTTATTTTGTAAACACACACACACACACGAACGCACGCGCACGCACGCACCATTCCCCACCCGTTATTGATTCCTGTTCCTAAGTTCCAATCGAAACGTAATGCAAGTTACATCATTTCAAGAGAAAATACGAGCATATAAATGCATGCAAAATAAAAAAATTATGTTCTCATATCTCCAAGTTCGATATATCGTTTCAGACCTATCAAACTTGTACTTGTAAGAAAGCGCGACGGCCCAAATGATTGCTAGGCAATGCAGTGTCACTGCATATCATTTTCAGTCTGTAAATATCATTTACCTTCTCGTCTTAGATGCTTGATTGGCATTTTAGAAGATGCTATTTGATGAACATGGAGAATTTTCTGGGTTTCATTTTCTTTTTTATTGTTCGGTACAACGTTTCAGGGCTTGTTCTGGCCCCATCATCAGGTAGAACTAAAGTACAGAACTGAATCTCTTTAGTTCTACCTGATGATGGGGCCAGAACAAGCCCTGAAACGTTGTACCGAACAATAAAAAAGAAAATGAAACCGAGAAAATTCTCTATGTTTACCTTCTTGTCGTTTCATATGACTGACTGACTGAATGAGTTTAGTTTTTCACCGCTTTTAACAGTATTCCAGCAATATCACGGCGGGGGACACCAGAAATGGGCTTCACACATTGTGCCCATGCAGGTCAACGAACCCGGGTCTTCGGCGTGACGAGCCAACGCTTTAACCATTAGGCTACCCCACCGCCCCCCGTTTCATATGAAGCAAGGTAAAAGGATTTAAAGTCGCGTTCAAAAGTATCACATTTAAATAGCTACAAGCATACGTGTGTGTTGGGTGCGTGTACCAGATCCATATTTCATCGGGTTCATACAGTGTTTGTTTTACACCGCTTTTAGCAATATTCCAGCAACATCACGGCGGGGGACACCACAAATGGGCTTCACACATTTTGCCCATGTCGGGATTCGAGCCCGTGTCTTCGGCCTGACGAGCCAACACTTCAACCACTAGACTACCCCACCGCCCCTCCATTAATTGAAGTAACTCCAATTTAATGTTGTTAGTTGGTAACGCCGCACATGGCAATATTTCAGCTATGTGGCGGCGATCTGTAAATAGTCGTGTAAATAGACAATACAGTGATCAACAGCATGAACATCCATCTCTGCAATTGGGATACGATGACATGTGTCAACCAAGACAGAGAGCATGACCACCCGTTCCCGTTAGTCGCCTCAGACAAGCAGGAGTTTGTTGAACACTAATTCTATCCCGGATCTTCACGGGTTAACAATTTGAATTCAGCCAGGCGAACAATCAATACGAGATGATTTAGAAATCGCCTATATGTCCACCGTTTACATATTATAGAGTATGGGTCAATAAACCAACCAATAGACGGCGCCTTGTCCAAGAGAGTTCCCAGGAAGTACGTGTTTTCTTCATCCCAATAAATTGAGGTTCTTTGTATCCGAATAGGACTCAAAGTTGTCAGTTTCGAAATTTGCATAACAATCTGCTCTTGCAACTCAAGTCTGTGATCTGTAAGGAAGTCACTTGCGTCTCCTGCGAAGACATCATAATTCTATATCAATATCCTGTTTAGAAACGTCATATTTGTCGTAAAATGAATATTCAAACGATACTTTTCTTCAAGCCCAAAAAACCCGACAAAGACGCTTTTCGTAGAGGTCTAACATGTCTTTCTGTGTACAGAGGTTGACCTGATTTCAGGGGATCTTGTAAACCGAATCCTGACTAAATGAGCTGTTAAGTTACAAAACACTCTTACGTGTATATCATTCTGAATATCAATATATATACAAACGAAATGGAATATATCTGTATTTTTAGTTAAAACAATTCGTTCTTTATGACATTATTTATTTGCTTGTGATGTACCTCTTTCCCTCTAGACATAACTGCAGAAACAGTACCTGGGAAAGTTATCTGGAAATTAGTCCTTTGATCATCTGTAAAGCAGGGTGTGATTATGAAGGCGTTGAGCACATTGGGGTGGTCCTGATTGAAATCGTAGAAGTCGTATATGTAATTTAACCCACTCTGAAAAGAAAACGTGTTATCCATCTGTAGGGTTATTGTAGTACGTTCCTGCAACGTCAGGCTCGCTGACTTGGTTGACACTTTTCATAGTATCCCAATTGGGTAGATCGATGTTCATGCTATTGGTCACTGGATTGTCTGTTCCAGACTCGATTATTTATGGACCGCCGCCATAAAGCTGGAATATTGCTGAGTGCGGCGTTAAACAACAAACAAACGAGAAACTACAGTATGTCAAACAGACACTGAAACAAATATATAAAAAAAATCCCATGCAAGGAAATGTGTGCCAAGTCTAGATCACTAAAGTTTCTGAACATTTAGTCTCCTGATTATAATCTAGAACCACTTTTTTCGGCAAAATATGTTTATTTCAGAGACTAGCTGTTATTCTACTCCTAAAACAACAACTACAACTACAACTGTTACTACTACTACTACAACTACTTCTACTACAACTACTGCTACTACTACTACTACTACTACTACTACTACTACTTCTACTACTACTACTAGTTCTACTACTATTGTTGGGAAAACCTCACCAAAAGATACCTCTTTCCAGCCCTACTCTTGACCCTGACAAAAATAAAATCCTTCTCACCAAAGGGTCGTTTATTTCCAGCCTAACCGGTGTATCTGGACTGTCATTTCCTATGTCATTTGCACTTGTCCAGTAATCCTAGAAACAAACAGCAAATACAATTATAACCATTATAATATTCGAAGGCAACGTATAAAATCAGAGTGAGTGAGTGAGTCTAGTTTTACGCCGCACTCAACAATATTCAAGCTATGTGGCGGCGGTCTGTAAATAATCGAGTCTGGACCAGACAATCCAGTTATCAACAGCATGAGCATCGATCTGCGCAATTGGGAACCGATGACATGTGTCAACCAAGTCAGCGAGCCTGACCACCCGATCCCGTTAGTCGCCTTTTACGACAAGCATAGTCGCCTTTTATGACAAGAATGGGTTGCTGAAGACCTGTTCTACCCCGGATCTTCACGGGTCGTATAAAATGAGAGACATATGGTGAGTGGCATACGCAGTCACCTTGAATGAATGAGTAAGAAAGGTTTTAGGCAGGTTTTAGTACTATTCACGCAATACCAAGGAGGGGACTCCAGAAATGGGCTTTACACTTTGTACCCCATGCTGGGAATCGAACCGGGGCCTTACGAGCAACCGATTTAAACACTAGGCTACCCCAACCGCCTCAAAGGTTACTAATACTACACGTTTTTATTGTTTTGTAATGAAAACTGAAAAGTCGTGTAATAAATGCATTATCAAATAGTAGTCACTTTCACAATTTAATTTTATCTACCAGTTGAAAAAAATTGGAAGAAAGGTTAAAATAGATATCTACCAATAAGTAACTATGCTAGACATCTATATAGTTAGGGACGGTAGGGGAGCCTAGTGGTTAAAGCGTTCGCTCGTCACGCAGAAAACCCGGGTTCGGTTCCCCAAATAGATACAATGTGTGAAGCCCATTTCACCTTGATATTCCTTCAATATAGCTCACTCTTATCAGTGAAATGCAGTAAATGAGATTTCTTGGTCACAACTTTTCAAACATAATAATGTTACATATGAATTTCGTGACCCAGTTTGGAAGCAAGTTAGTTTATATTAGATTACGCAGCTAGATATTACAAACTATTGCAGAATAAGGTCATATAGAAATAATTAAATATAACCACAGTTAATCAAAATCAGTAAGGTGTTGTTTGCTATTTGAGTAAATGTATGTAAATGTAGTCCACCTACGCTCATAAAGTACACTTCAAAGGAGACATTAGATCCCACTCTCTCTCTGGAAAGTCTGTCCTGATGGCGGTGTAGACGTCACAGTTGATGCCCCGGACGGTCCTCTATGAACGAAGATTAGTAGTGAATTGCTCACTGATAATAGTTTGCGCGTTTCCGAATAGCATACCGAGCTTTGTTATCTCCATGCAGAGGATGCTGGTTTACCATTTCAGTGGAGTGAGCACGTTTAGTTTTATGCCGCTTTCAGCAATATTCCAACAATATCACGGCGGGGGACCCCATCATGTCAGTGGGACGGCAGCTGGGTAATAGTGCTGATACACGTCAGATGGCATTGTTCAGAATTCCATCCATCACAGGGTTCTTGGGGAAGTATGAGATTCCTCGCTACCTGTGTCTCTAAACTATACTATAACAGATTCATATGTTGGTACAATGTATCACAAACACATATGTTGTTGATTAAAGGTTTTGTATTAGGCATTATTTCTTGTGATGTCATCGCTCGCTCTCTTTTCATTATTTCTTGTGATATCAGCCCTCTCTCTTGTCATTATTTCTAGTGATATCAGCCCTCTCTCTCTTGTCATTATTTCCTGTGATATCATCGCTCGCTCTCTTGTCATTATTTCTAGTGATATCATCGCTCGTTCTCTTGTCATTATTTCTAGTGATATCATCGCTCGTTCTCTTGTCATTTCTAGTGATATCATCGCTCTCTCTTGTCATTATTTCTAGTGATATCATCGCTCTCTCTCTTTTCATTATTTCTAGTGATATCGCTCGTTCTCTTGTCATTATTTCTATTGATACCAGTCCTCCCTCTCTTTTCATTATTTCTTATGATATCATCGCTCGTTCTTATAGCATTATGCTTTGTTATATCGGTCACATGTTAAAAACTCGGAAATGGCGTTACCACCGATGGAGTGCTTGAATCAGAAAATTCATATATATATATATAGGACAATGACTACACATCGCATAAATCAGCTCTTGAAATAGGATTTGGAAATCATCAATGAAATAAAAATCATTCGTGACATGACATGTATACCTGTACATATATCCACCCAGAGGGATCCACATTGTACAACAAACCAGGCCTAGATTTTCGAACTCTCTTAGAGCTAAGATAGTCGTAAGTTAATGTTAATGTATGGCACTTACGACAATCTTAGCGCTAAGAAAGCTTCGAAATTCTGGACCCTGGTCTATATTGCCAAAATGGTATAAGTCATTTCCAGGATAGTTTATTAGATATTTTATCAAGTATGTCAGAGGTACATATTTTGAGCGGAGATATTGATGCACGTACAGGTACAGAGCCCGATTTCACCGAGGATGATATCCTCAAACATACAGAAGGGTTTTCATCTGACAAAATTGTAAATGCGCATGGCAAGGGCTTGTTAGACCTGTGCTCAGTTATCAAAATTCATATAATGAATGGACGATGTGGATCCGACTCCGAAATAGGCGACACTACGTTTATTGACCATAACGGAACAACTGTAGCAGATTATATATTAAGCTCAATATCAATTTTTGATAGTGTGCTTTACTTTGCAATCCCTTCCCGCACAGAATCCGACCATCTTCCTTTTTCCATGAAGTCACGTGCGCTTCACACGTATCATACAACAACCTAGAAACAGTCGTATAGATTTGTTTGGCATAATGATAAACTTGAGCTCTTTAGACAAAATATGTTCTCAGAAAGTATTCAAGAGTTACTATTTTCAGTCAGCAGATTTCGTGTTTACAAACATTGAGAGGAGCACAGATCTTATTGTACAAGCACTGTGCACAGCTGCCTCAGATATAAAAAAAACAAACTGGTAAGAGAGGAAACAGAGCTCAAACTTGGCATGATGCAGAGTGTGATAAACTGAACAAAGAAAGATGCAAATATTTATATAGGTTTCGTAAATCTAAGGATGTTCGAGCTTTAGATGATTACCATTGCATTAGAAATACGTATAATGCAGTTTGTAAACAAAAACGAAGTGACTATTTGAAACTGAAACAACAACAATTAGAACATAGTGTTAACAATTCTAAACAGTTTTGTGTTTCGCTGAAAAAATTGAATGTGAAAGCAAGACAAACAAATGACATTGAGATCAATGAATGGTATTCTTATTTTAAAGAATTGCTTTCTACATCTGAAATTAATGATGCCATGAATAACTATACAGCCAGCCAGGACGATAAAAGTAATTGTCAAAGATGTGATATTAATAATTCAATGACAAATTATATATACTGAGTCAAAAAAGAAACTTCACATTCTTTCTTCTGGGAACTATAAAAGAACAAGAGATGGTAAGATGGTTACATTGTTATTATTTCATTGCTGAGATCTGTGTGATGTACTCGATACTCTGACAGTGCCATAATCAGTTCCATTAGGCTACACCGCCTTTCCAAAACTTGGGTATACAGAATGTCAAGTCACAAGAATAAAAATGCGAAATTTCTCAGTTAAATATCGTGTATGGCCGCCTCACGTATTCACCACTGCCAAACACTGCCTCCTCATCGACTGCCTGATGCTTGTGAACACGTGGTTGGGGATTCTGCGCCATTGCTCTTGCAAGGCAGCGCCAAGTTCCTGCAAATTCTGAGGTTGGTTCCTAAGACCGTGAAGCCTTCTCCCAAGTGCATCCCAAACGTGCTCTATTGGATTAAGGTCAGGGGACATCGATGGCCAGTCCATGACGTTGTTTCCAGCGTTTTGAAGGAAATTTCTTGTCAACATCGCGGTATGCAGCCGAGCACTATCATGGAACTGTAGACCTGGGCCATGAGCCGCCATGAAAGGAACGAGTTCAGGGGTGAGCACCTGGTCGAGGAGGTTTCCACGGATGACCAGAAGTCGGGAACGGATGTTCCCCACAGAAAGCACCCCACACCATGCAACTTCCGCCCCCGAATCTGTCGACTTCCTGTACACAACATTTGGCATACCATTCACGACGTCGTCTCCAGACTCTATGCCTGCCGTCCTGCGAATCTGTGGATAAACCTGGATTCATCACTAAAGACGACTCGATTTCAGTCTCTCTGGGTCCATCAGAGGTGACGTTGGGCCCACAGCAGACGTTGACGTTGTTGAAAAGGCGTCAATATTGGCCCACGGTATGGACGTCGAGAAAGGAGATTGGCAGCCCACAACCGATTTCGAATGGTCTGTGAGGACAGTCGACCTCTAAACATCTCAGCCCTGGTTCGTGTAGCCGGCAGAAATCTGTCACGTAGGCGACGTAGGACGATTTGACGGTCTTCTGCTCGTGACGTCACACGTGGACGACCCGACCTTGGGCGATCAGAAGTGGTGCCAGTTTGTTGTAGACGACCTCGCAAGTCATACACAGTACGACGGCTGCATCCCGTTGCTCTTGCGACGTCAATAACTGATCTTCCCGCTTGCAACATGCCAACGGCACCTTCACGTTGCACATTCGACAATCGTGGCATTTCAAGTACCGTTAGAACTGTAGTTTAAAAGTGTTTTTTCAATTTTTGAGGCCAATGCAAACACGTGCATATGAAGAAAACTTCGATGCGAAGATCACGTGATCGACTGCACGTGCAAAACCTGATTTGGCACTAATTTGCACGACGAATGGATGGGTTTGAGTGGGTTTTGATAACGTTTTTCTAGAGTCGAAAGATAGATATCCCATTTCGGATACATAGATGTATCATCAGAGAAAAATTATTCATTATTTTTCAAATTACATTTTGTGAAGTTTCTTTTTTGACTCAGTATACTTGACGCTCCAATAAATCGAGAAGAAATCTTAAATAGTATTAGACAATTGAAACTGAACAAATCATCAGGAATATATGATACTATCTCCGAATTTTTCTTACACTCATCAGATATTCTACTCCCATATCTCTAATTACTGTTTAATGTTGATCTTGAAGATGTTTTTCCACATTAATGGTCGATTGGTATCATTGTACCTATTCATAAACATGGTGATAAAAATCAAACTGAAAACTATAGAGGGATTACTCTAGTGTCTTTATAAAAATATTCACTGCCACTATAAATAAACGTCTTGTATTCTGGGCAGAATCCTTTGATAAGATAAGCGAATCCCAAGCTGGTTTTTAGAAAAGGATATACTACTACTGACAACATATTTGTTTTACATTCACTTATACAGAAATACTTAAATAAGAAAGGTACCAAGTCCTATGCTCTCTTTGTAGACTTTGCAAAGGTTTTCAAATAGGTTCAAAGAGAAAAGTTATGGAATCTTCTAGATAATAATTCCTTAAGCAGTAAATTGAGTAATCGTTTAAGAAGTATTATGATAACGTAAAGATGTGTGTCAGAAACAATACGAAAATACCTGAAACCTTTGAGAGCCAAATAGGAGTAAGACAAGGTTGTATCTTGAGTCCATTTTTATTTTCTTTCTTTATCAATGAACAAGCAATACAGATTCATGAAAACTGTTTATATGGTATTCAGCTACATCCAGATATTCTTCTATTATTTGTTGATGATATCATACTTTTCTCTGGCACTATTCGCGGATTACAAGCAGAAATAAATGAATTAGAAACATACTGTCATAAATGGAAACTAACCGTAAATAGAGATACAACTAAAATATTTGTGTTCAAGGATGGAGGTAAACTTGCTGCAAAAGAGAAATGGTATTATCATGCTGAAATGATAGAAACAACTACGTCTTACAAACACTTTTACAAACCAACTATCGTTGTGCTTACATGTCAGAAATGCATCGATGCAAGCAAAGAAAATACTAATTGGTATTATTAGATATATTTATATTTTAGGTGACTTGTCACACAAATCATTTTTTAGAATATTTGATGCTAAGATTAGTCCCATACTTCTATATGGTCCTGAGGTTTGGGGGCTACAAACATTTGATACACTAGAAAAAGTACATTTATATGCAATAAAAAGATTCCTTGGTGTGAAAGTTACTACCTCAAACATAACGGTCTATGGTGAATGTTGAAGGTTTCCATTATTTGTTCATAATAAACACGCTATAATATGTGAAATGTGTGACTTGAATCTAATTGAAGATGAATATCATATCATCATAGCCTACCACTATTTAAGAAATAAATATATTAAGAAATATTACTTTGTACATCATAATATATATAAATCTATATTTCTATTAACTTACTCTAGCAAGGAACACCTGGAAAAGTTTTCAATGTTCCTATAACATGCCTTTCAGGAGAAATGTACTCTCTACTGCCTAATAACAATATAGTCAGTATACATGTGCTATTGGCCTGTGACCTCTTAAGTGCAAAACGAAGACTTCAAATGACATGACGTTATTCGTTTACATTTCAATTCAACTCAATCTTAAATAACGTAATTTTCTTACACGTCATTTCTACTCTGATGTACAGGGACCTGTGTGCACCTACCTGTCCTGAATAGGCATAGGATGAATCAAGATAAAAAAGCTGTTCTGGATTCCTGAGATGGATCGGGACCGACGAAGTGTTGCGCGAGGTGCTGTTCTCTATGGGCACAATGCTGCAGTTGAAGAGCGACCAGTCCACGACGTAGGCCACACCTAGTGAAGATGAGACACTTTACATTCGTGAATCCAGAGTAGGGACAGTATCTGGAGAGGAAAGGTGTGTGTGTGTGTGTGTGTGTGTGTGTGTGTGTGTGTGTGTCTATGTCTGTGTCTGTTATCTAGAAAGGAGAGGCCTATACAGAGAGGAAGCGGGACTTATCCAGAGAGGAGAAAGGAGGCAGAACGTATCCAGAGAGGATAGAGGAGGAGGGACGTATCCAGAGAGGAGAGACCTACCCAGAGTGCATCCAAAAAGAAGGAGAGACGTATCCAGAGAGGAGGAGAGACGTATCCATGGAGGGACGTATCCAGAGAGGAGAGACCTACCCAGAGTGCATCCAAAAAGGAAGAGAGACGTATCCAGAGAGGAGGAGAGACGTATCAAAAGAGGAGGAGAGACGTATCCATGAAGGGACGTATCCAGAGAGGAGATACGTATCCAGAAAGGAGGAGAGACGTATCCATGGAGGGACGTATCCAGAGAGGAGGAGAGACGTTTTCAGAGAAGAGCAGAGAGCGGGAGAGACGTATCTAAAGAGGAGTAGGGGCGTACCCAGACAGGAGGAAAGAGGATAAATGCTTTACATCACCCATCGTTATTTAGCCTTCTCTGTGTTGCAATCCCATATGAATACATGTATATGGGTGTACCCAGCTATTAAAGTTATCCCCCGCAGAAAACCCAATGACTTCGTCATAAGGGTTGGCTACCGATATAGATCACAGAGATGGATAATGGTTAACTACATATCGATTGATTATCGATAAGTATCGGAGACATAACTTTGAGCAAAAATGCCAAAACTGTCTAAAAGAAATGAATATAATATTTCACATCGCAGGTGAGTGGTGACTTTATTGCATGGATTATTGACAAAACAACGCCCTAAGCCGAACTAAGATGCAGACTATGAATAGAGTCCTTAATGTGTATACTGTAAGAAAGTTACAACGTCTTTCTATCACAAACGTTTATGTACGATATTATTGATACAAACATTTTCAAATCGATAATCATTGATAATCTTTCCTATCGACAGTAATTTCCGATCATTGATATTTTTTAGTCAGCCCTAATCGTCATTCATGCATATGGTCCAGAATATTGCTTTCTCGTCTCCTGCTATCGCCATATCTTCTCGCTTTATCACTTTCTCGTCTCGCGTTATCGCTTTCTCGTCTCGCGTTACCGCTTTCTCGTCTCGTGATATCCCTTTCTCGTCTCGCGTTATCGCTTTCTCTCCGTCTAATTTGAAGGCGTAGAAAGCGATGGACCTTATCAGCCACCATACATTACCTACCTACCCACCCACATGTATTTCAAAGCCCCCTAAAGCTTGTCTTACCAGTATTGTAGTCATGGATTTCCATGTTGGCATCGGGGCTGTAGTAAGGGAACACTATACCGGGACGGGAGTCGAACCTGACCAGCTGGTAGTTGTAGTCGTAATACACCTAAGGCAAACTACGGAATGAAGTACGGAATGAAGCATTTCTTTACCTACTTGTTGTTACAACATATTAACACAAACATTACATGGGTCCCTAGTTTTAGCATTAACTTTTGTCATCCTTAGATTGAAAATTTGGAGAAACTGAGAAGAGAAACTGTATTTTTTATGGCCTAACTTGCGTTCCAAGCAGTGACAGAACAGTATAATTTCCTATGAACAATGTAAGAACATTTTCACAACTACCAATATGCCCACTATGTTAACATACGCTTATAATATGTACTGCCTTTTGAAATGAAGAACATTCGCCATCAGAGTGAACCAGGAAATCACGTGTTGAGAATATATGTGGCTTACACGTATTGTTCAAAACTGCCTTTGATCACCCGGCAGAAAATGGGTAGCCGGTGGGTACCCATAAGTCATATGACTATTAACCTTCTAGCGCCTCACAGGCAGCTAGGGTTTTCCCAGGTAATAATGTCCATCATGGTGTGGAATTCAGGGCCCCGTTCCTCAAAGCGATCGTAGCGCTAAGGTGATCGTAACTCCCATACTTTAACATAGACTTACGACTGTCGTAGCGCTTCGATCGCTTTGAGGAACGGGGCCCAGCGCTATAAACGTTACCATATTATAATTGCATAAATGGTGTTAAAATACTTGCGTCTACTTGCTTGACCGTACTATCCATGACGTTTGTTATCTCCTCCCTATATTGATACTGAGCCTGTAATTGGGGCATCTGGCGGGTCCCTTTACGTCCTCTGCACGCAACTCCATTGGGTGTCTACAACACAGAAGTACAGTAGTCTCACACCCATCGCTATATCTCACCCATCATGGATTGTCAAGGCAGTTCCATTCCTCCATATCACGTTCCATGCGATAGTCAGAGGATATTTCGGTGCTGAGTTCTAACCAAGAGTAATTCGTTGTAGTTCCGTATTTGATGACAACATCTCTGAACCCTTTCAGCAAAATATATTTGGAATATCGAATTGGATTTAGAAGGAAGCTATGGTAGCGAATTGAATTTGGCGGGGTATCTAAGGTAACAGAATAGATAATCGGAGATGCATCTCAGACTAGATCATATCCATTTAATAGCATTTTAATATCAGAAGTCAGTGTGTCGAAGGAACACAAAATCACGGAGGTGTGTGTGTGGGATATTACATGGGGATATGTGGACATGACACTCATCGGTTGTTCAGTCGAGGTCGGAGGGAGCAAATACACGACTTTAAAATGGTCATCGGTATTGAAAATGTTTATGAAACTCGGATGTGACGAACTATATATCTTTAATATTGACGGATGGCAGATAAAACATTTGGGCCTCTCGGACCTTTGTCGTGACTGGCCAAATCTTCCATCGAAAGCTGTGCCCATTTTAATTTTCAAATTGTAAGCTTTCAAGCGAAATACTTACTTCTAACTTAGTCTGGTCTTGAATCTCGCTCCTGTAACCAGTATAGTCATAGATGTGATGGAAGCTCGAATCTGGCCCGGGGCCCAGCTGGTTCTGGTAGCCGATGATTTCAGCCCTGACTGGGATCTGGGGAGAATTATCCGCTGTTGTCCAGTTCTGAACTGGAATCAATCATCATAAAAAGGTTAATGACATCATGTCAAAGAGATGTTTGGTTGGTACCTCGAGTAATTTGATTGAAGGAATCCAAAGTCTTTGTCTCCAAGTTCGATGTGATGATCAGATGCATATTAGTGAGGCAGTAAGTAAATATAGATGTTGAATGTCTTCTTTGCACGGAACACCAGCAACGTTGCTGACCGAGCTGGGATGAGGTGAAATCGGGTTCACCGTCTAGCAAGTTTATTGTACTTCTTTGGCGACGTGTATGGATATTATAATAACTCCGAATTGACGAGTCCATGCTCCATTCCTCTAATTACAGGGTTCGATCAAGCATCCTCCTTTGGTAAAACGCGGTTGGGAATATAACCCCGACCTTCTCATGAAAATACAGGGCATTGATTGGGTTTATTGTTAGCGGCCATGCATGCCATACCTATCTAAACTTTAGATGACATGCCTGATTTGCACTTGTTCATACATTACCCCTCAACGATACCCGTATTTGTTAAAAATCTGAAATGAAAAAAAATGAAACACATGTACTTACCAGTGAAGTAGTAGTCGAGGGTGAAGCTGACATCGAGGAAGCCCCAGGACATGCAAGACTGCCAGTGGTCACACAGAATACCCCGGACAGTAGACCGATTCATATATCTCTGAAAGAGTGAGTTAGTAAATTGAACTGACTTTACCAATTTGGTATAGTGCCAATAGAAGGATGATAGGAAGTTATACATTTTCATTATCCTGACACAACAAAGGGAGTAAACTCTGCGCAACAACTTTTGTCGACCTCCTGGAGAACCCCCGTTACATTCAATGCTGCTCAGGTTTGTGTGGGGCCTTTTACATCGAGGGAGTATAATTAGTTTGTTTGTTTCAAGCTATGGCGGCAGTCTGTGAATAATCGAGTCTGGACCAGGCAATCCAGTGATCAACATCATGAGCACCGATCAACGCAACTGGGATACGATGACACATGTCAATCAGGTCAACGAGCCTGACAACACGATCCGGTTAGTCGCCTTTTACGACCAGCCTGGGTTGTAGAACACCAGTTCTAAGCCGGATCGTCACAGGTGGATACATGCCCGCTTACTCTTCTAAACAATATTTTAGTACAATCACGTTCATCATGAAATACACTGTAAAGTTATAACGAAATTTAATCATATGAGTCTAAAAAGCAGGAACACATTTATCTAAATGGTTATATTTTTGGTGAATTAAAGTCCACATTCGTGACTGTCTATTAAGGGAAATTAATAATAAAAGAAATCAAAGGACGGCGTTGCAATAGAACAATACTTCGGTACCGAGAAAAATGAATTGATCATATCGTTCATTTTCCGATAGGTCTTGAAAAAACATTAAACAGGACTGACTGCCAAGAACGTCTCTTTTCAAACTTAAAATTACTCAGTACGTGTGATGCGTGTCAAAGTCATGGGATTCTATGCATGTAATGGCTAGACACCAGGGAAAGTTTCAGACATGAGAGCAATAAACGTTCATACCGACCTCTCCGCACCTCTGTGCGAACCGGAGGACAGATCCGGTCGAATAACTATGAGGCATGGCCGACTTTCCAAATCGACCCCCTAAAATGATGTCATCCAGATCCATCGACTGGTTGTACACCGTGCACTCGTCATCTGTCACGGTTAATGTAGCGGAGTGATTTAGGCGTCATTTTGTATATAACTATTAATCTACTCTTCCTCTCCCAAAGGTAATACACGTTTAAAGACAGACAGACAGACAGACAGATTCGAAACGTCATTATGACGTTGACCATGACGGTGCCTGCGATACTGACACCAACAGAGTAAAACGTGACTCACTTATGATATGGTAGCTCTCCTTTGTGTTGGCGTTTAGGATAATGGTCTCTACGTTGTCCCCCTGCCTGATCGTCATTGAAGAAACACCTTCCGAAGTGGAGACGTATTCATCTGCGTCTACTGTCTGGAACTTGTCAATAATGGCTGCTTCAATATGTACTTGGTATTCACGGGGCATCACTTTGGGAAGCCTTGGATCTGGAGTGAGTGAGTGATATCTGTTTGAATCCGCCTAGAAAACCATTCCATTTATATCACTCCGTGGGTGTTAAATTGAGGAGGACAGGTCAAAGTTAATTGTGTCGGATATTTACCAGTTGGTGAAACACACGGGTGTAGTGTTGACAGAAGAAACATACTGGCCGGGACCTTAGCTGCATCTCAGTGTACCTCAGCACCCTCTCACTATTAATAGCCGGAGGTTTTAAATGAAATATTCCCGTGCTTCAAATACTCAATAAGACTCGGAAATTGGCCAGCACATGATGCTTATCGACATTGTAATCACAAAAGGTCCACACACGTTTTTTTGTCTGCACTCATTGACATCGAGTACGGGTACAGCAGTGAGATGTCATCAGCCGGCTGTTTCGGCTGTCTCCCATGGTAGCATCTTGACCTACTCATTTGTGACGTCATTCGGACTCTACGTCACAATATGATTTAATGGCGTCAAAACAGCTGACGACGTAGCAATACAATGGTGTGAGCGATGTTTGTATGTATCAATACGCAGCGAATTTCCGGGAATCGAATACCATTTGATCACGTTTTTCAACCTATGAGATTATAGAACACGGTGACTTTTGGTTTACAATTGTCACTAACTGTTAAGTTTGAAGGTGTTCGGAAGTGTGAGGGGAGTCTGGTCACTTTGAAGGGTAGTTATACCGTGAATGAGTGAATTACGTTTTACACCGCACTCAGCAATATTCCAGCTATAGGGCGGCGGTCTGTAAATGATCGAGTCTTGACCAGACACTCCAGTGATCAACAACATGAGCATCGATCTGCGCCATTGGGATATAATGACATGTCTCAACCAAGCCAGCAAACCTGACCACCCGATCCCGCTAGTGGCCTCATACGACAAGCATGGGTTACTGAAGATCAATTCAAACCCGGACATTCACGGGTAGTTTTACCGTGTTACTTTCACGTGAGGCTCACGTGAACACCTCATATCAACACTATTTGTTCGCCATACAGTCGAAATAATAAAACAGAACTTTAACGTAGATTTCATACGGATATTGAAATGCTTTTTGTCCGTTTTCATGTTAATTCTGAACCTTCTGACCGACTTACCCACTAGCTGACTCACAGACTCACAGACTCACCATTTGGTCCCACGGTGGCTTGTGGGTCTGTTGTGCAGATAGGGTATGGGTACTGCACTCCCAGCGCCTGGGCAAGAAACGGCAGCAGTATTGGGCAGATCACAGCCTGCAACAAAGGAGCAAACCAGTCCACGAAAATGTTCTAAGAAAAGCGCGACCATAGTAGCGGGGTAAACACTAAACATGAATTCTATCAACATCGGTTAGGTATTCACATGTGACATGTAATAAGACACAATAGATACTCATAATGTATAACGTAAACACGGTATGCAATATGCATTATATAAGAAGCAATGTGTATTATATGAACATAGATATGCAATATATATGGAGATGAAGCAATGTTAGTCATTGTTTTGTATTTGGATTACATTATTGTTGTGATTCAGAAGATGCCGTGATGTGCAAATTCTAATTTATATTGGGAGTCAAAACTGGTCTCAAAGTTTGTAGAGTATCCAGAATATTTCAGCGTGGTCTGACCTAGTGGGTTAAAGACTGACTGAGTTTGGTTTTACGCCGCTTTTAGCAATATTTCAGCAATATCACGGCAGGGGACACCAGAAATGGGCTTCATGGATTTGAACCCGGGCCTTCGGCGTGACGAGCCAACGCTTTAACCTCTAAACTACCCCACCGCCCCCTAGTGGGTTAAAGAACGTTCCAGAAACAGAAACCTCAGGCAGCTTACAGAGATGCTCTTGCTTCGGGGAATGTCTGTGGTAGCCAGGGGAATGTTATTCTCACTCTTTATTGATGGAAATACTGTTATATATTACAAGGTCGTTGTATTTGTACTGTCATTGGTGCATGTCGCCTGTAATCGTTGCTCTGCCATTGTAATTCCTTTGGAGTGTTTTGCTTTGGCTCGGAAACTGAGTTTAACTTAAATACAATTGATTGAACAACAGTATGTTCTTTGTGGATTTCACTCCAGCTTCTCTTTTCACTATATTTCAGTGTATCCTATTATTTCAACGTGAAAATAGACACGCAACAATGTTGTATCAAATAAGTAACCAACAAACAGTATCAACAAAGGTTAGGTGTGGTGAAATTGGGTTTAATGTCGTGCTTGAGAATATTTCGCTCATATGAGGGCGTGCATGCGTGTGTATGTGTATGTGCGGTTGCTTGTACTAGCCCACACTGAAGCTGGCCCACTGAGATACCATGCCGCAGTGAAGCATGAATACCCCACTCAGGCACATTATACCGACTCCGAGCCGACCAGTCCTTCTTGTACCATTAATGCCGAGCGCCAGGCAGGGACCAACAAGTATCAAAAAAGGTATGCAATATGTATTTATCACATCGGTAAGGGTAAGCAACGTGTATGACATGAAGAGGTTATCCAATATGAAGGATATCGATATTCAAGTATATATTAACAGAGATATGCAATATATAATGTATTATGCAAATGTTTGCAATTTATGCTGATAACGATAAAATACATCAGATCACACAATATCTCTTTTGCAATATGTCATTGCTATACATAATGAATGCAAAGCTTTGATAGCAAGGGACACATTTGGTTATCCCTTTATGTGTTTTCTATCAACATAGGTATGCCATATGTATTCAATATATGTCATATTGTAACTGGTATGCGACATGTTATTTCAACGAATGTTTACAATCTATTTTGTATCAACATGCTTGTGTCATATGTAATATGTCAACATAGATATTATATATGTATTATATCAACATAGGTAAGCAATGTTTATTACATCAACATAGGTATGCAATATGTATTATATCAATATAGTTATGCAATATGTATTATACCAACCCAGGTATGCAAAATGTATCATATCAACCTAGGTATGCAACATGTATTGTACCAACATAGGTACGCAATATGTGGTGGTGGTGGTGGAATTGGGTTTAACGTCGTGCTTGAGAATATTTCGCTCATCTGACGACGTGCATGCGTGTGTATGTGTATGTGCGGCTGCTTGTACTAGCCCAGACTTAAGCTGGTTTTATAGTGCTAGCCCACTGAGATACCATGCCGCAGTGAAGCATGAATGCCCTACTCAGACACACTATACTGACTCTGAGCCGACCAGTCCTTGACGTACCAATTAATGCTGAGCGCCAGACAGGGACTAACAAGTACCATATCTTAACGTCTTTTGGTATGACGGGGTCGGGGATCGAACCCCGCGACCTTCCGCACTCCGGGCGGACGCTGTAACCACCACACCACGGAGGCGGCCGACGCAATATGTATCATATCAACCTAGGTATGCAATAAATATTATATCAACATAGATATGCAATGTGTATAAGATCAACAATGGCGTCAATTTATGCTGAAAATACCCTGAATGTATATTTGGATTCACTCATAATATCTCTTTTGTAATATTTGATTATTATACTTCATAAACACAAGACCTTAATAGCAAGAAACACAATTCGTTATTTTTTTTATGTACGCCTCACAATCGGGACTTGTAGAAAACGGGCAACATAACTATATTATAAGGAATCGAAATGAACGGAACCTTTCATTCCAATGACAATAAGAGTAAAGTGTCCTACATTAAACTTTCTCCGGAAGTCATGTTATGGTATGGTTAACATATATGAGTCATAATATCGTTACGACAAGCGTCAATACCTGCATGTAGACGTTTTAGTTGTGTTTAATGTTCTGTGCATACCATCCGCACCATATGTGTAGCTTTTTACGTCATGTTAACATTAGCAGGATAAACATACAATATGGCATTTTAATTGTATGTTTGGAGAAACTTACCTTCATAATGAGAGTGGAGGGGAGGTTCTCAGTCCATGGATGATGGGACAATGTCCACCTGATTAGCGATGTCGTGTCCTATTATAACAAGCATTTTTTGGCAGTGAACACTCGCGGTGATAACACCACACACATACCACATTGTCTATCAGCCTTGAGGTTGTCAGATCACGCTATACACTGTTGCCTTCAGGGATTGCATGAGTAGGTGGATAGTGAATGAGCGGGGAATTATTAAGTGAATAGCTGGATTTCTGTTAGAATGTCTGAGGGACTAGGTGGCTGGGTAGAAGATGGTTGATTGAGTGAAAGAGTGGTTGAGGATTGACTGGCTGATTGAATGATTTACGTGGCACTGTGTACTTGCAACTGGTAGTGATTGGGTCGGTGAATGGTTGGATGGTGAACCAACAAACGAGAAAATGAAAAAAACAAAACAATAGTCACGTTTTCACGTCGATGGTTTTCATTATTCCTGATTAAGTATGAAACGCTGATCATAACCAAAACATCATACCCACTCTGTGAGGTTTTTGCAGAATGTTTGTCCTAAAAATAAACAAATTGTTTAACAATCTATCATTAAAATATTGACACAGTTCACTGTTTGTTACGAGGGAGGAGTGCAGAGAAAGGGACAGCCAGGTGTTCGAGAATGGATGGAGACGGCACAGCACAGGTTAATGAATAAATAACTTTGTCTATGAACGTGCTTCTCGAACACCTGGCTGTCCAATCCCGTTAGTCGCCTCTTACGACAAGCATAGTCGCCATTTATGGCAAGCACATGGGTGGCTGAAGACCTATTCTATCCCGGATCTTCACGGGTCTTGGCCATTGGTCTCCTAGGTCTGGACGATACATTTTTTCACCGATGACCACGTGCTTCCTCACTTTTCGACTAATAAAACCGTTTGGTTAATGTTAAAGCTAGCACCGATGTTGCAACAGAAGTTCCGTGCGTCGTACATGCCAGTATATCTTGCTGTTATGTAGTTTCTGAAAGCATACGTCTTGCCATGTTATCACAAGTTACTTTGTCTTTTTGTTTAAACTTTAGAAACCTGTATTGCAAACAGAATGTCGTTTTGCTATTTTGTGTAATCTGTACACATAGAAAGTTAGAAACAAGTTTTTATTAAAAGTAATTTTTCATGATCCGCGACAATGTTTCTATCCGTAGTTTCTATCTTAGTCTAAATCCGTACTAAGTTATACCCTGAAGTGCCGTGCATCCTCGCAGAAAGTGAACATATAGCTCTTGAGATATTGAGTGAGGCGCGTGTATTACATGCAATCCAATATGATAGGGTATGATCGCCTGTTTGGACCAGCTATTTAAGACTTGCCATTGGATTCATGTACTGTTTAACCATGTGTATATATTCAACAGCCAGAGATACTGACGTAGGACTTAGTATCTCCTACGTAGGACTTAATACCTCCTACGTAGGAGTTCATATCTCCTACGTAGGAGTTAGTATCTCCTCAGTGGGTATCTCCTACGTAGGACTTAGTATCTCCTACGTAGGACTTAATATATCCTACGTAGGACTTAATATATCCTACGTAGGACTTAATATCTCCTACGTAGGACTTAGTATCTCCTACGTAGGACTTACTATCTCCTACGTAGGACTTACTATCTCCTACGTAGGACTTAATATATCCTACGTAGGACTTACTATCTCCTACGTAGGACTTACTATCTCCTACGTAGGACTTAATATCTCCTACGTAGGACTTAATATCTCCTACGTAGGACTTAGTATCTCCTACGTAGGACTTAATATATCCTACGTAGGACTTAGTATCTCCTCCGTAGGACATAGTATCTCCTACGTAGGACCTAATATCTCCTGTGTAGGACTTAGTATCTCCTACGTAGGATTTACTATCTCCTACGTAGTAGTTAGTATCTCCTAAGTGGGTATCTCATACGTAGGACTTAGTATCTCCTACGTAGCACTTAATATCTCCTACGTAGGACTTAGTATCTCCTTCGTAGGACATGGTATCTCCTACGTAGGACCTAATACGCAGGACTTACTATCTCCTACGTAGGACTTAGTATCTCCTACGTAGGACTTAATATCTCCTACGTAGGACTTAGTATCTCCTACGTAGGACTTAATATCTCCTACGTAGGACTTAGTATCTCCTACGTAGGACTTACTATCTCCTACGTAGGACTTACTATCTCCTACGTAGGACTTAGTATTTCCTTCGTAGGACTTAGTATCTCCTACGTAGGACTTAATATATCCTACGTAGGACTTACTATCTCCTACGTAGGACTTACTATCTCCTACGTAGGACTTA